CATATAAACTGACTTCTCTCTTTGACAACTTTTAAAATTAAATAAATTTTAATTTAGCAAAAAAGAAAATATAAGAAGATAATATTATATAGCGAAGAAGAATATAATGTTTTTATATTTATTATCAAATAGAATAATAAAAGTTAAGACTTATCTCTCTTATAAAAACTTTTCCTATTACTATAGTAATAGGCTATCGTTTTATAAATTTGTAAAGATTATTTCATTAAAAGAATAAATGAAAATAAATTTCTATTATATTAAATACAAAAGAACTATACAATTTAATTCAGTATTATTGTGATTGAACAATATAATATTTTATTTTATTTATTTAATATTATTAGCCTTATATATTAATGAAATGCGTATTTTAATATTTACCTGTTTTTAAATCATGTTCACCAACAACTATGCCAAAATTATTAATATTTTGTATTTGTTCTAAACAATGAGCTGCAGTTGTTATATATTGTTTAGATATAATGGTACAACCGCAAACTATATCACGTTTCATATAATCAACAAGTCCAGCCATCATGGGATATTCATTTACCTCAGTTTCACTGCCGCCTACTATTCTGGTCTAAATAAGCAACGCAAATAATGACGTGTACTTTTATTCTTAATGAAATTAGTATTCTTAATAAATCATATTTTACATGTGCACATTACATATTGATTATGATTATAGATGATTATAGATTAAAATTTAATTATATATAATAAAGCAAGAATAATAAATATATTTTCAATAAATAATATTTGACAAAAATAAATTTAAAATAATTTAAATAAACTTACTACTTTTTTCCAACCGCATTGGCAATTATCATTATTACTTGCATATATCTGGCATAAAAATCGACCTTTCGAATAATTTGAAAATGAATTCAATCTTATAGTTGGATTCATCCCTATGAGTGTAAATGTTTTATAACCGCAATATCTTATTGTATTTCCTCTATCAAATTGAATAGAAAAATTATCTTGAAAACAGTTTGGAGTCTATAAAATAATTTATTATTTATTTTATTTATCCTACTTTAACAATAACTCTGATAACAATTAATATAAATTCTAGACTTAAATAAAATTATTAGATTCTGTTTGAAAATCTGATTAACATTATATGTATGTATATATTTCAAACAAAATAATTGTATAATAAACTTACCATTGGTTCTATTTCAATAGAACAATTTAGTTTTACAATATTAAAACTTGTCATTTGCCAAACGCACTGATTTATTCCCTCGTACCATTCGGGAAACTCTTTATTATACACGTAATATGTTTGGCCAGCATCCAAATTTCGAAAATAATTACAATCCGATTGAACTCCATTTAATGACAAAAGAGATAGCAATAAGCCGAATAAAACTATTTTGACTAAAATAATTATACTTATTTTAGAATTATATTGTTTAATATTATAAAATTTTTATTGGAATATTAAATTATCAAACAATAAAATTTTAACTAAGCATTTGCGATATTTAAACTAATATATTTAAAAACATCTAATATATTTAAAAACATTAATTAGTGAAAAATATTTTTTTTAATATCAATATGGGATTTAAAATTTTTTTAAGAAATCTTTTAAGAAATTAATACTTAAGAAACTTTTAAGAAGTAATGAAATATACGAAATAAAAAGAATATCAGCACATCTTTTATACTTTTTATATTTGTATATTGTTTTATAAGTAATAGTACAGTACACTGAGAGAAAACAAAATAGTTCAACTATATTTATGACAATTATAAAATTTAAATACTTGCAATTAGTTTTTCAAAGTAATAAGTCCGAAAATAATATTAATGTATATCTTATTTAGTAGAAATGATAATTTAACTCTCCTAGTTAAATTATAATAAGTTATATAAACGTATATAAAAAATTTTCTAATTAATAAAGAATGCTTATTACAATTTACATAAATAAATAAATTTTATTTAATTTAGACGCTATTCGTTTTTTAAAATTGTAGAATTGATGAATTATGTGTTTAAAGTAAAATTTTCAATATAAAATATTATTATAATTGTTATAATATTTAACTGTATAAATAAATTGAATTTTTTATGTTCAATGATATATTATTCTATTGTATACGGTACTAAATAAAAATTTAATTCTACTTGATATTAATATTTTGTATTGATTTCTTAATAAAAGTTGATAATCAAATTATTATTACTTTTTATTATAACTTCTTTTAATACACAAACATGTCTTTTCGATCATCTAGTTTCAATTATATTATTTATTAAATTACTATAAACGAAGATAAATTTTTTAATTTATCGATCGTGCTAGCTATCTCTAATCTACTTCCAATTAATTTATTACATACAATTGTTTTAAAACATTCTTAAATATATTCTTCTATATCAGTAATAGCAAAAATTTGATTACCTGCTTGCATGATATATTTGTGACAAAATATTCTAGATTTAATTTTTTGAGAAAGTAAATTACTGTTTTGACAAATAATCACATCACATGTATGACAGATGCGTCTGTTTTTATCCAAATGCAAAGATAAAGTAAACTTAAAACTGATAATATCAGATGTCTTATCTTTTACAGTTATAGCTGATGAGTAGAGCTATAGCAAAGAGGAATATTTTTCAAATAATCATGGAACTGAGTAGATACATAATCAAATATTTTATTTGAGCATTTTATAAAAAATCATTGGTCTTGTTAAAAAGTAAAAAAAGATTCTAAGACATGGAGATATTTTGCATTTTTTGCATTATAAATTTATAGATGCCAAGATCGTAAAGTGTATATTCAGGCATTTTTACTGCGTCATAAAATTCGAAAATTTATTTCTTCTTAGTAGAAATGTATAATCGATCGTATTTGTTTTAAGTAAAAGAAAGTTTAATTAAAGAACTGTTATATGACGTTAAATTCTATTTAATTTATTTTATCAAAAATTATATTTTATATACAATCTCTCTCAAAAAACTTTTTTCACAAAATTTTAATGCATACAATTTAATTACCAACTTTATACTATATCGAGAAATAAAATTTTTAATAAAAAAAATTAATTAAATAATATGCTCACAATTTTTGCTGATTTGTATAATAATAATGTCCTGTATAAGATACTGTTTTATATGTTTTATATGTTTGTAAAATACTTAAACTTGATTAACATTATAATGTATATTATTGTTTAAGTAGATTAAAAAAAGGAAAATAACATTTTATTTTGCAAGTATAAAATATAAAATTAGAGCATATATTATTTTTTGCAAATGATATATTATCCAGTAATGTCTAAATAGATACATATTTATATAGATATAGATTTATTAATATATAAATATATATAAAATGAATAACATAATGTATGTATAAAATATAAATTAAATGCTTTAAATAATATAGTAAATATTTGTAAGTATTGTAATCAAAGTTTGGATTAATCTACAACCAATTTAATTGATTTGAATTTTAATTTTTACGTACGTTCCATATTTGTGTAGAACTTCCAAACAGGATACACGTATCGTGACAAGTAACTTCCGTAAATAATGAGACTAAAGGCTTGTATCGTATAAAATATATCGTGCCAAGTGTTTTACTGACAAAATACATAAAAAAACAATTGTTTCTCGCGATAAGCATAGATCAACTGTCTTACTATTTTGTGCATAATGGTGATAACGCGCACCAATACGCGCGGGTTTCTATATTGTCTTGAAAATATGCAAATATCCATCCCGTTCTTTATTTCTTTCCACACATGTGATAAGCATATTAGCAATAGACAACCTTTGTTATGCGAATATTATATCTTATGTAAACATTGTAAACAACGAACAAAATTTGAGTACATGATTTTAGATAATGAAAGAATGTCAGCGTATAATGAGGAAAGGAAAGTGAAAAAACATAAAGAAAATGTATATTTATTCTAATAATATACAAACTATCTATATTAAACTTTAGATATAAGTACACAATTTATATCAATAGTTATGCAGTTGTAGAATAGTGCATGCTGTTATACAAATCATATTAATATGACACAGTATTATAATTTGAAATGTTTCTACAAATATAAACTTGATATAGCATTTTTATCGCATAAAATAAACTAATTTAATGCAAATTGATTTCGTATTGTAAATTTATGTAGAAATATATTATATATGTAGAATACTTATATATGTAGAAATATATTATAATTTATGTAGAAATATATATTTCGTAATCATATCCTTTTTTTTAAAAAACAATTGCGTTACTTTTATATTAATAGATTTATCTCATTATTCTATAAAAATATTAAGGTACAATTACCACAAAATGAATATTTTACAAAATTAGAAGTAAAAATAAGCTCAAAGATAAAATATCAGTAAAAAAAACAGGACTAATGAACCGAGCAAAATTGTGCTCATTATTGTTTAACTTTATTGATTATTTAAAGTATTATTATACATAATTCTAAAAAATGCAAATGCTTCGATCTTCCACAATTATCTTATCTTACAAAAGTAAAACGACGAATGAATAAACAATCATATAAACAAATTAATATCGATCCAATTTATTAGAACCAATGATATTCTTATGAAAAAATCGTATGATTGTTAAATTATAAAATAATTCTTCAGACGGATAGATTCATCACGCTGAATCTTCGGATATTATCAAATCATGCTCAGAATACAGAAAAGCATTTTTTATAAAGATTCAATATTCCCCTTTGATTCGATCCTTATTTCTCACAAGTTTCCGTGTTCTAAAATTAATTTTAATTTTATAAGCAGTCAAAAATAAAAATATGACAAATAGATAATAAATCACATATTGAAAATCAAATATTTTATAATATTTTTCATATTTTATGTCAAAATATAATAAAATAACTTCTAAATTGACAATTTCTAAGCGTAATTTTATAACAACTTTTTATAGTTGTTATATTTTAACGAAAAATTACATTGATTAATTACATTCATAAAATATAAAGTCTAATTATACAAAAAATTCAAATTAAATTTTATATGATCTTGGGAACTTCATTCAAAATCAAGCTATTATTAGCATTAGGTAAATTTATTTTTAATGTTACAATTTTGTCTGTTGCATAGATTAATATGTATATACACGTAGATTGCTAATTACAGTTTTCAAAGCATTTCTTGATTGAATGAATATAATATAATTCGTGTATATAATATTTCGTTTTTTGGAGAACTTTACCTATAAGGTAGCGGACTGTCAATTAAGGACAGAATTTTTAGAATAGAGATCGAACATCGGTAATCTATGTATACTTATCAGTGGTCGCATACTTTATTATTTTATTACTTTATTATTATATTTAGACAGTTTTTAACAAAATTTTTAATATTTCTAGATTTCCTATAAATCCTATGCGTATGTGTGTGTTGCTTGTAAAATATTGCATAGAATATGTATAAAATAAAAAAACTTGGATCGATTTACAGTCAGTATAGTTGCTGAAATTGTATAAGTTTTTTGCTCATTATTTTACTATTTGCCATATTATTAAATAAGAAATGTAAATGTGCAACAATTCAATTAGCAAATTATTACAAATTGTGATTAAAATTTATTCTGATTAATTAATCGTAATTTTATGATTATTTCCGTTTTTACCATTAAAATTATTTCAATAATGTATGTATAATCTACTTCAATAATGACCAAATTTTTAGACGAGATTAAATTAAAATTATATTTATTTAGAAAATGACTTAATAACATTTTAATTAATGTGGAATAATTAACACAAGTGTCTGTATGATAGAATGTTTATTTGTTTCTATTTCATTTAGTTTTTTATAGATATGGCATTTCCAGTGCCTTTGAATATAGCTAGATACCATATTCATAGTTTTAAGTTCATAGGTTTATTCAGTTAATGGTCAACTTTTAATTGAAAAGGCTGAGATAAAGTCAAAACTAGCACTGATATAACTATGAATACCATACCTGAAAAGATCGTATCTGAGAACAACTGTACGCAGTAAGTATTTTATCGCATTGACGTTTGCGTTTTCCGATTTGTACCAGTTTCCAAAGTTGTCACAATTACTATTCAAACTCTTTTTCTAGCTTTACTTTAAAATATTAAAACAACACATTTGCGCGCTAGGTATGCGCTATTTATTTTCTAATATTATATTTTAATTAAATATGTATAATTAAAAATTATTGAACATATATATATATATATATATATATGCAACATATGTTTATACATATTAGACAACATATATAAAATTACAGATATGAAAAATATAGAATATGTGCGTGCGTGCGTGCGTGCGTGCGTGCGTGTGTGCGTGCGTACATGCGTGGCGCGCGCGCGCGCGCGCGCGCG